CCCCCCGACTTAATTAAATGTATATATAATAAAATCTATTAATTAAAAAAATTAAAAAAACTATTGGAGATGGTTTTTGACATCAGAAACTAGCTTTAAATACTTTACCGAAGGAAAATCCGCGCACTACAACTTTAGAACGATGAATTAAATTTGACAAAAAAATCTCATTAAAAAACAATTAAGCGTTAATCGTGCATCATTAAAGGTAGATTAAAATCGCAATAACATTTTTTCGCGCAGGTAAAAATTTTTTTAAAAATTTGGAGACTTAAAAAATATTCCAAAAATTCAAAAAAAAAACAAAAATTTTTTTGGGGAGGCGAAAAGACCGAGTTTTATGTAACGCTATGTAACCTGCTCGAGTTAACTCGGGCGAAAAACTAAAGGGGTTAAATTTTTATTTTTATGTCTCTAAAAAACACAAAACATGTTTTAATTATTATGTCGTATAACAAGATTTATTTATTTATTTGTTTTATTATAAGATCATATTATTTCAAAATCATGTATAAAGTGCAATCATGCATTTGCACATCAATTAAGAGGTGCAAGTTCAAATTTTGTTCTGGATAGAGTTTTTCAGTTGTATCAAAATTTAATTAATTTAATTTAGATTTAGTATTCATTTTAAATAAATAATAACTAGCAGAAATTTAAATTCTCTAATTGTTTAAAACCTTTAATTAACCCAATCACAAGTCAAACAATTTCTGTCATTTGAATAATTCTGTACTGTTGTTATGTTTAAACAAAACTGAAATAAACTAAGGTAATAAATAAAAAATAATTTTATTGTAATTTAATTAATCTCTAATAAATTTGCTTATTATTTGATTTTTTCTCTACTGGTGAATAAGTGACATCATCAAGTTCTACCTCACTGATAAATTGTAATATAAATGACCATTTATATTATTATACTATAAATTACAATAAAACAGCTTAGTATTTTAAAAAAAATACTACAGTTGTTTACTGTACTTATAGATGGTTTTTATTTCACAGACTGTAATAAAGACATATCTTCTAACTTGGCTTTTAACATTACGTTTGCTAAATAGTTTCACTCATACTCTTGTATGCATTTCTAGAAAAGATCCATTTTTGAAAATTATGATAAAATAATAATGTAGATATGATCACATTTAGTCATTTTAAAAAATTGGTTAAATTAAAATGGATCTAATTCTTTATAAAACAAAATGTAACTAAGAAAAGTTATTTATAAATTTAAAAGTAAAAATTGTTTTTATAGTTTTGTGAATACATGTAATTTTAGAAGACTGTTAGAATTTAGAATTATATGGTAATATGTTTCTAATTCTTAATATAATCTGAATTTAATACAAAAACACAAAAACCAGAAATATTTTAAGTATAGTTTTATAAAATTCTACTTATACACAGTTATGAACTGGATAATGAAATCCACTTAATGATGAACTGAATGTAAGATAGGGTTACCATGTCATAAGATTATAATGGAACTGAAAAATTTGTAGCTGCCTGTACTTTTTCTATATTAGATACATATTTATCATTGTGTTGGATATTGCCTGTACGAGTAACAGACTATACCATACAGGTTGTCTATGATGTTTGCTTAATGACGTATTTTTCTGAATATATCTCCATCATTAAGTGGCACATATCTGTAATCATGTTTTTTAACATAACAAAGTAATAATTTATATTATTTCAATTAGTTAATTTTATATTATTATTAGTAAGAAATAAAATAATTTTTTTGTGTTTTATTTATTAATAGTTCAGATTTGAATTATTGTTATAATAAATTATTCAATAATAATTCATATTAAAATATTTTGAAAACAAATTTTGAAATTTATTATAGCTTGCGGTCACCTTACAACTTTATTTAGCTGAAGTATTACGATCTTTAGTACGTTCTGAACGGAACCAACAAGTTATGTGTGAAGCTGGATTACCTGGAGAGTTATTAAGTAGATGTTCTATTGCTTTAGAAGATGAATGCCATCCTCTTCATCCACCATTGCAGTATATTTTGGAACGTCTTGCTGCACAGTCATTGGAGCCTAGAGATCTAAGGTAATATAAATATTAGTGTTGTAACGAATAGTATATTCGGCCAGGAGCGTGGCTGAATAGCCGAATATTCGGCCAAACTATTTGGCTTGATTAACGCACGTACGAAAATTGGTGCGCAAACCGCATTATGGCAAGGATCCTGCTCTNTGGTACTGAAGTACCAAAAACTCCTGGAAAAATAGAAGGTCGACCTGCCAATCAAAGAGATGGTGGTCCAGTACCACTCACTCGAGTAAAAACATTAGTTTCCATGACAACGCCAAGAGATTGTCGACTTCATGGAACGGCCATAATGCCTCCCTTTGTTGAGTTTGATATGAGTTTTGAAGGATTTAGTTGTCTCTATCTTCCAAGTATTGCTCCACAAAGTTTATCTGCTTCTACTGTGGTTGGTGTTGGAATGGTAGGAATGGGCAATGATGCATCAGTCATTGGTGGTATTGGAACAGGTTAGAATTTTATTTGGTAGAAAGTATCATAAAACGTTTGTTATTGAACAAAAATATATCCCAGTTAACAGATTTTTGGGCTATCCTATATTTAAAATATAGGGTAGTCTAAAAGTCTGTTTACTGAAAGTTATTTTAAGAATAGTTAAAAGTAGTTTACACTAGTTGCATATGATCACAAATAACATAAAGTTGTTCCAACTGGTTTTAACTATTCGTAAAATAATCTTAAAAATATATGTTAATTAACTTACTTTTGGCTACCCTGTATAAATATAATTCAATACATCTTAAAATAAATAGGAAAAACCACTAATAAATGCACAGCATTTTAATTTTCATTTTTCTTGTACTGCAGGAACAAAAACAAAAAATCACATGGTGAAATCAATCTTTATTTTGGAGGCTTTTCTCTTCTTATCTATAAAAAATTGTCTAAAAATGTCTCTATAGTTTTTCATCACATAATAAAATTGCAATTAATAAAAATGTTCTGATTTTATTTTTATTAATAATGCAATACAACTAACTTAAAAAGTAAGATTTATGTGGTCTTTAACAAAATAAATTATTAAAACTAAGAAGGGAACATTTGGGATTACCAATGCCACTTCTCCTTATTAAAATCTTTGACAAAATTTAAGAATAAATATAATAAATTTATGGTTGTCATTCAAAGGAAAAAGATCTCGAAAAAAATATGAGAAAGTTTCATAATTAACTAATTTAGATATAACTATGGAGGGCTATGGTGTGAAATTGTGCCCAGTTGGTGGGGAGACTGATATGGTTATATCTAAATTATAATAATTGATTATCTAATTAGTCTGGAAGCCAAGTTACATAACTGGCTGCATGTCTTTATGGTTAGTAGGAGTTGCAGGTTTAAGTTCCACTCCGGGCCAATCTTTTCTTTTAGAATATGCTTAAATTAATTTTTTTATAATTATTATATTTAACAAGAGATGTCAGTCTAGAAGCCTTTTTCCTGCCAGATAACTTAGTATATATTTAGCCTTAGTAGCCTGATAAAGGAAATCTTGCTATGAAAACTCAAGAGCCCAACCAAGATTCATGAATCAGTATGGTCATCTCTGATGTGATGTGTGTTTACAGCTCTGAACACAGAGCTGTAAACACACATGCTAATGGCAATGTATTTATTTACATTCTTGCCTGTTTGCCTTTCCTGATTTGCATGTTTATATTTATTTTACTCAACAATGGAAGAGTTATCAAATTATTCCAGAGTAGACATTGTTTAGATTTTCACATAATTTCCAATGACACCATTTTTGACCCCATGTATCATTGAACTTTGGCAGGAGATATTTATAGGACCCCATAACCCAGGATCTCTGACACATAGACTCATCAATTTTTGAACATTTATAATTGACATGTAGGACTTACATCTTTGTTTGGACATAATTAGTTTAATCGTCATACCTTTAGTCATTTCCAAATTATGGGACTAGTTCACTTGTAACACCACTGTATATTCTAAGGTTTTTTTTTTAAACTGTAAAAGCATACAAATTGATAGCCACAAAATATATTTTCTTAAAGACAAAAAATTTTAATTATATAAATATGATGTGTCATTGTAGTTCTGTTGGCAGTTTAACAACAGGGTGGATAGAAACTCCAAGCTTCAGCAGTAGCATGTATGAAAATACTTGTTGCAAGTTGATGTATTGATATTTCATCATCGTGAAACTACAGTTTAGAAAATAAATCTCAGAATGAAGTTTGACAAAGCTAATTTTACAATACTTTATAAATTTTCATTGTACATGTATGTTAATTTATCATACCAATATTTGTTTATCAATTCAAATTATATAAATAATCTAAAAATAAATAAATAAATAGCAAAGTATTTGTTAAAATATAAATTTGTTAGAATAATAAAATGTAGATTTTTTTTTAAAATAACGATGATGAGTTTATTTGATTGAAAAATAAAGTGAACTTAATTTTCAAAAACAATTTATCATTATATTTTAATAAATTTTTTTATTTTTCTGTTTTCAGGTGTTTTTTAAGATTAGGATTACCCTTATGCTGTACTCCATTTGATCAAATTGGTACTGAAGTACCAAAAACTCCTGGAAAAATAGAAGGTCGACCTGCCAATCAAAGAGATGGTGGTCCAGTACCACTCACTCGAGTAAAAACATTAGTTTCCATGACAACGCCAAGAGATTGTCGACTTCATGGAACGGCCATAATGCCTCCCTTTGTTGAGTTTGATATGAGTTTTGAAGGATTTAGTTGTCTCTATCTTCCAAGTATTGCTCCACAAAGTTTATCTGCTTCTACTGTGGTTGGTGTTGGAATGGTAGGAATGGGCAATGATGCATCAGTCATTGGTGGTATTGGAACAGGTTAGAATTTTATTTGGTAGAAAGTATCATAAAACGTTTGTTATTGAACAAAAATATATCCCAGTTAACAGATTTTTGGGCTATCCTATATTTAAAATATAGGGTAGTCTAAAAGTCTGTTTACTGAAAGTTATTTTAAGAATAGTTAAAAGTAGTTTACACTAGTTGCATATGATCACAAATAACATAAAGTTGTTCCAACTGGTTTTAACTATTCGTAAAATAATCTTAAAAATATATGTTAATTAACTTACTTTTGGCTACCCTGTATAAATATAATTCAATACATCTTAAAATAAATAGGAAAAACCACTAATAAATGCACAGCATTTTAATTTTCATTTTTCTTGTACTGCAGGAACAAAAACAAAAAATCACATGGTGAAATCAATCTTTATTTTGGAGGCTTTTCTCTTCTTATCTATAAAAAATTGTCTAAAAATGTCTCTATAGTTTTTCATCACATAATAAAATTGCAATTAATAAAAATGTTCTGATTTTATTTTTATTAATAATGCAATACAACTAACTTAAAAAGTAAGATTTATGTGGTCTTTAACAAAATAAATTATTAAAACTAAGAAGGGAACATTTGGGATTACCAATGCCACTTTTTAATGGAATGTACAGTACATTATTTCATAGAGATTGCCTTTTTGATAAATGGAGTAATATTTTTATTTTGCAAAATGCTTTGTTTCTGTGAAAAAGCAAAAAAAAAAAATTAATTATGACATTTAAATAGGTAAATTATAAGCACTAAACAAGAAGTGGTTGAATTATATAGTTTGTTGGTTCTGTGTTTCAATGTGTAAGAGGTTGTGAATTCAAGACTTCCTACAAATTTTTTCCTTGTATATTTTTTTGTATTTCTCCACTTAAATGTCTGTATAGATTGTGTAAATCTTATGTTTATCATAAGTTTTCTTTAAAACTAAATAAATAAAAGTATTTTAGAAACATTGAAATGCTAAGAGAATTAAAACAATAAAATATTAGCAGCTTTTTGCAAATACTCCCTTCAAATTATAGTGAAAGAAAGTAAATATTTTGTAAAGAAGACAATAAAAAAGACAATTATTGTTTTATTGATTTTAAACTGTATACTTTTTTAAAACAAGGAAATACTTATTTCTATTAAATTTTTTGATATGTGCATGCATAATAATTAATTAAAAATAATGGAAAATGGCTATTTTGTACAATTTAAAACTTACTAGATGGATTAACAATAAGCATTCACACATTCTATAAAGATAATTTATTGGAGAAAGGTGAAGAATATACATGGGAAGAAAAAGAAAATATTCTTAACATGTTACAACCTTTCACACAACAAAGTGCAGAATTAACAATCTAGACAACAGAATCAAAGCATTTTGCAGAAAAAGAACTCAATACATTTATGAGAGAACAATCTCTATAAAATGATATACATTTCATTAAAAAGTGACTTTGGTAATTCCCAATCGTTCCTTTGTAAGATAATATTTTGAATTACAACATTCTGTTTATTGAAATTTTCATTATTTTGACTATTAATATTATCTAATATTATACAGTGGTATCTCATGCTTTCAATGCCAAATTCAACAAAAATTTGCCTCAGAGTTCAAACTGTGCACACAGCAAAAAAATATGCTCAAAGCATAAATGTAATCTGTTGCACACCTAAGTTATCTCTTGCTGTCACTCTTGCATTATGCTGGTAAGTTTCAGTGCTTTTTTTATGCTTTATTTTTGATGTGTTTGATTATACAATATATACTGCATTGTGTTTAATTTATTGATTTTAATCATTTCTTCCTGCAATTTTTCACTATTGAAAGCTTTTGGGTGCCATGTATGTTTTGTATCCTTTACTTTAAAAATTTTTGAATAGAAATTTTAAACCACATTTAACATATTTGACATTTAGGAGTTTATTCCCCATACACATTACAAATTTTTTTTACTGTTTTTATACAACATTATATCCTTTTCGAAACTTGTACATAATATGCCTGATATGCTTTTAATCTGAAGATATTTCAACTTGATTTTATTCAAACAAAATGTAAAGTAAAAAGTTTAAAAGAAAGTTCTAAACAAAAAGTATAATTTTGCAGTAGCAATACTGTGTTAACTTTCACAGCTGTTATAATTAAATTGCACATCTATATTTAGTAAGGACAACTGTTAAAAATATGCAAAAACTTTGGGTCAAACAAGTGCAAAAACTTGTTTACTTATTAACTGTGGCATCTGAGAAGTGTATGGAAGCAATAAAGTCTAAGAGGAAAGGTGTAAAATTGATGATTGAGATGAAAAAGGAAGTTATTGTAGAGCATATAAGTGGTACACTTGTGGCAGATATGATAGCTATATTTTAAAATACTGAAGTTAATAGTGTGCTACAAGTAAATGCAATTTTTATTTTATTATATGGTATTTACATATTGTAAGTTTAAACATAAAATAAAATACATATTGTATGTATTTTATTTTATGTTTTAACTTATTATCAGAGCATTTGATTGTGTTATTTTTACCTTAAATTATGTGTATTTGCTGTGTTTAAGTTTATTGAAATGGATATTGTTTTGGGTCTGAGAATGGATTAATTTGCTTTCTGTTATTTCTAATGGGAAAACTGATTTAGACTTTAAATAATTCAGAGTTTGAATAGCCTCTGGAAATGAATTAAATTTAAAGTACGAGGCACCACTGTATATATTTCAGATAATTTTTATTTCAATTTGTTACTCTCAATATAAATTTATAAAAACTTTAGACCTGTTAAAGTCAATTATTTTATTGTAATTGATAGTTATTGGGTAAAGTAGTTAATGTGTCAATTTAGATGGGAATTCTATACAATTTAAAGAATTATAATTTTAAAATGTGAGTTATATATTCATTGCACATTGAATAACAATACACTTTAATGGTCATTTCATTTTTGGACCATGTTTTTACTAAATCTTAGTTTAATGATTATGCTCATAAATATATATTTATTAAGACTTGTGTGTAAAATCATATAATAATATATATATGCTAATAACTTTGAACTTACATAACAAAGCAATGTGCATTGCTTACAGCACGGGTTCCCAACCTATGGGTCGCGACCCAGAAGGGGGTCGCAACGGGTTTTCTGTGGGGTCGCCAACTTATACAGTAAACTATTTTTATTTTTAATTTATGAAATTATTCAAACTTCAAGAAACCAGTCTTGAAGTTTGAATAATTTCATATATTTTTTTTAAATTAAAATAAGTGTAATCTAGGTACGCTATTCTGTCACAGTTGGTTGAAACATGTGTTGAGAGTTTGAGAGAAATAAATTAAATGTTGAGAATGACATGAGATTGGCATTAACAAAAACTCTCCCGCGAATTTTGAAACTGGTTAATAACTTGCAATTTCAACCATCGCATTAAATTATTAAACAATTTTAATAAAATTATAGTAAAAAACTAATTTCGTTGTTTTTTTAATTACCTTATTAAAAATGCCTTTTTCAATTGTATCGGGGTCGCGGGACACTTGGCTTTTATAAAAAGGGGTCGCCACCCGAAAAAGGTTGGGAACCGTTGGCTTACAGGTATCATAGCATACTGTATTGTTACAAAAATACAAACTCCATGAGAAAGACATGTCTTCTAATTATTCAATTAGTGAACAAGTGTGGTTTTCAGCAGAGTTTGATTCTTAATTGAGCAATAAATTTATATAAAACTAATCTATAAATTAGGAATTTCTTAAAATATTAACTTTTATAATATTTTATATAATAAATGTAATAAGGAATATAAATAAAAAATTTGCTGTATAAAAATAAAGTTAATTATGGATTTAAATTATTCTATTTTATGGAATTTCTAATCTAATAAAATATAATTATATATAATAATAATATTTATTAAATATTAAATTTCTGCATCTATATTATTATTATTATTATAAAATTTATTATGATTTATGCTATATTCAGGTGATCGTGTATTTCCTCCTCAGCCTGGATTATCCTATTCTACTTGGTTATGTGTAGAAAAATTTAGTGATCCTCACACTGATCCTCATTCAGTTGGTTTAATTACTCTTGTCCGAAATGTTCAAGGTCGAGATGATCATCTCATATGTTTCACCCTACAGTTGTCTTGTCGAGATAGAGCTGTACTTATTTCTACACAGGAAACACCATTATCTGGTTAGTAACTAAGTATAATTAAGTGATAATCAACATTTTAATGTATTCATATTTATCATCCAGTACAAAATATTATTTAGTGACTTTGTCTTAAAGTAATTCAATTGAGAAAATACTTTTATTAAATCAAATTATAGAATAAAATACCAATTGCTTTCCTACTCTTTATATTTGTAGAAATTTTTTGCTTCATTGACTTTTTTAAACAAATGATCAGTTTTCTATATTAAAAATTGAAATATAATTTAATGTGGTAAATAAAACAATCAATGTTACTCTTAATAATTTTGTAATAAATGTATCAAAATAATTTAAATATCTTTGGATCAAATTGTTTTAAATAATGTAAGCATTCACTTCAAATTATTTTTAAATAATTTATTTGGAAGAAATACAATACAAACAAGTCCAGTTAATACAAAGTTGAAGGACTTAAAAACTGGCACTTTGTATTAACAAGATTTGTATTAAGCAAACTTTACAAAAATCAATGGTCATACCACCATTGATTTTTGTAAAGTTTGCTTATACAAATCTTAAAGTTTGGTTGAGCTCAATTTTTCCCAGTTATTTCAGTACGTTTTTTCCTTGTTTCAATATGTTAAAATAAATATATAAACTTCTGTATTGTTTCAAACATTCATTTTATTGAGATATAATGGTTTGAAAAAGAAATTGCTGTAGAAATGTGGATGGAAATGCACATTTCTACAGTGAATTAAAGAAAGAATCAATCTTGTTTTTTGGCATTGGTTATACTTGTACAATGATTAAATCTGGATATAAGAGTCTGACCTAGTCCCCAAATTGAATCTAGGAGGTGGACATGCAAAAGACTTAACACATTTTAAAATAATTTATATGCTTCGATTTCAATGGAAACTGTTTTTAATTTTAAAATTACGAACTAATTACAGTATTTTATATTGTAATTTAGTTGTTTCATTGTTTTTGTTATTAAAGCAATTAAAAATAAGAACTACAGTAGAGCATCGATTATCCGAATCAATCGGAGACTGGGGTTGTTCGGTAAATCGATTTTTTGGATAACCGATTATGTACGAAAAAATACATTAACCTATCCCATGTTGAAATTTTTCTCTGTTGCGTGTCGCTTCGCGTTGAATTTTTGTCAATGTTAAGCCTAATGAAGACTATTGTATCGTTAAAAATTATTGTTTTATTTTGTACAAACAAAATAAATATATTGAAAAATATAAAAACAATAAAAAATTATACTTAAGAAGTTAATTTAGTATCAAAAACAAAATATTTGAGTAGCCCAAGACATAGCCAAAGCATGGGTGAAGATTGCAATTTGCCGAATGGGATTCTTTCGGATAATTGACGTTTTGGATAATTGACTTTTGGATAATTGACACTCTACTGTATTTTATAAAACTACACATGATTAATCAAAAATTTCCTAATCCTATTAACTTCCAGATTATATGGTTTTTTGTCATCCTTATTAATTGATATATGGTTAGATTTTGTTTGAAGGCTAGATGTGATCCTGTTTGGGCTTCAATTTGAAAAAATTGTAGACCTATAAATTCCCACTGTTGTCTGTCTGTCTGTCTGCCTTTTCTCAATTTTGAGAACAGAGTTAGATGGGTGAAAATCAAGACCAGATATGGAAAGCTTAGATGCAGGAGGCTCCGATTAACAATATATGAACTTCTTATGCAAACCAGTTGTCACATTATTTCAGTTCAAAAATTTTCTGCTGAAAGATGTTAGATAACTGGCATGACTATTCTAACAGGAAAAGTATGATGTACAGGACCAAAACACTACTAATTAAGGTGAAGAACATATATTTTAAAATTAAATAAATTAAAAATATGATTAAAAATTGCAGCCTGGCATTATGAAGATGTCACAGTAAAATAATTGCTAGTTCTTTAGTTATTTTCCAGTGAATACCTTCTAACTGCAAGGAATATATACCAACATGAAAATTATCATTATCTAGATGGTTACATTTTGATTTTTTTATTGAAACTATTGATGAGTTCCTTTATGCTCTTTCTAGAAATAAAAAGATGTCTTCAGCTACTCTTTGGACTCTATTCAACTCTATATATGAGTGTAATTTGCTGGTGCTATATGAGTAAGCATTCTAAATAATAGCTTTTAAAGGCTAATACTGCATACTTAGCTGGACCATTAGACACTGTAGGTATATACAGGGAATGAAATCCTAAGTTAATCTAGGATTTCATTTTCTGTATATACCTACAGTTTAGGTTCTTTTTTTTTATAAAGTTTTTTTGTCCAAGTATGATTTTCATGACTTTTTAATTTATTTTTAGGAGGGCAGCTTCTAAAAGTCTTATTTGACGTGGTATCTCTTCCTAAACTGTAGGAATGTAGAAATAAAAAAGAACTTGTAAAGAAATGCTAATTTGCTTACAAAGTTCCTTTTCATTCAATGTATAAATTGCTTCTCAAGCCAGATCAGTTCATCACCTTTCCAAATTCCATAGAATTGATCAACTGGTCTAAAATTTTATATAACTAATTCTCTTAAACATAAATATTTATAAAAATTAGCTTAAAAATGTAGAAAGTTAGATGATATTTTCTCTAGATAAGAAAATGTGAATAATAGGGACATTTTGCAGTTTTTTGTAGAATTGGGACGAATGGCAATTATTACAAAGGACTATCTAAATACAATTTGAATTGTAAAAATTGTGTACAAATAATTGGTAAAATTTTTGTTTATGAAAAGCTGGTGAGAATAAGGGTCTAAAGATTTGATGTTTATAAATTTAAAGAAAGATTTTGTAACTGAAAAGTAATTACATACATTATACTGGAACTTGAAACTATGATTTCCTAAGATTCTACAAGAAATGTATTTTGAATTTCAAAGTGTTTTACTAAAAATTTGTTTTAGGACTGAGAGATAGTTCAGGCACATTTGGTGCATTCAACCTCACTGATTCATATTGATGATATTAAATGATAATAACAAGGACAGCAAACATAGTGGCATACAAAGAAGTTGGCTGCAAGTTATTTTATTTAAAATATTTTTAAAAAGATTGAAATGATTGAACTAAATATTTTGAAAGATTTGTTTGAATTGTTAAATTTAGAAGAATGTGTAACTTGATGATGATTGTTAAAAACATTTAAAAATGCTAGTTAAATAGTAAATGAATTGTTTTTATATTTTTTTCTTCTATAAATAATTGCTCATATAATATCTTAGTATTCTCTAAAGATTATCATTTGAAATATTAAATATATTTTAAAATATTAAAATACGTTATAAAATGTTTATTAAACTCTAGCAATTTATTCATATTTGTTAATTTAGCAAACATAGATTGGGAGCCAGAAGTTAAGGATGAATGTTGTGTTAGAATATGGTGTCCAGAATTACTTCAGGAAGGTCAGTGGCATCATGTGGTTGTGGTTTTGAATCGTGCTGTTTTGAAAAACAGCTCAGTTTCTCTCTATGTTGATGGACAACATGTCAACACTCAAAAAGCAAGTAGTAATAATATATGAATAAAAATTATTTTTAGTTATAATTAGTAAATGAAGAATACAAATGTATTTTATCAAATTATAGTAATCTTTTATCAAAATAAATTTGATATAATTCTTATTTATGTCATAATTAATAGATACAGTATCAAACTTGACTTAATACAAGAATTTAAATATCATTTTGAGATTATATTATAAAATAATAAATAGTTGAGATTCTTTTAAAAACTTGATTATCAATTATACAGAAAAAATAAGTAAAAGAAGTATGAGATGACTTCATATTAGAGAAAACAAAATCACAAATAGGTTATTAGTTTAATTCACTAAATTTTATGCTCAAACCACATTAAATTTGTAATGCTATGACGTTTTAAATAATGTAATGAATAATATCTGATTATAGAGTAGAATTTGAATTTACTGTGTTTTTACCATATATTTGCACATAGGAATTAATTTTTACTATTATCTTTGCTAGGAATTTCAGTTTAATTCTGTTGTATTATAGTTTTTTTAGCAGGATAAAACAACTTACAAGAAAAATTTGCAAGAAATAATATTATGATGATTTGGCTAAAAAATTGAAGTATATTTTGTTAATAATTCAATGATATTTTTATTGTTATTTTTGAAATATTTGTTATAATAAATTTTAAATATAAAAATTATTTATATTTAAGAATATATTGTTATTTATAATTGATTATTAATTTTAATAAAATTTGAAATATTTATAATTGTGATTCATGTTTGGCTAATTAGTAACCAATAAAAAATTGCACTTGGGATACATACAAAAATAGAATAAAGATATTAAGTAACTGATTTTTGAATGCAATATTGCATGGGGGAAGAAGTCTCTCAGTGTCCACAGGGCAGAAAGAGTTTAAAAAAAAAGTAAACAATTTTTTTAATTTGTCAATTGTTGAAATGATAATTTTATTTATCAGTTCTTTGAATGAGTTTTTGAATTGACATTTTTATAAATTTAATGATAGATTTTTAAAATGAGATTATTGCATGCAAAATAAAACAATAATGTAGTTACTACATTATTGTTAACTAATGTTTCCATATCACAATATTTATTATGTTGATAATTGTAGTAAATTTTCATGCTTTATCAATTTTCATTCATGAACTAGTGTTTTATTTTTATACAGCAATAAATTACTGATTATTAAAAATAACATTTCTGTTTAGTTCTTCTGTAGCCTATCCTATATCACAGATATGTGTTTTTTGTTTTTATTAATACTAATACAATTAAATTTACTTGTTTTTAAATACATATATTTATATTGATGTCATTTTAAATTATTTAATATATAGTTTCTGTTGCTTGATTACCTGAGAATTTTCTTTCAAGCTTTTAGGCTATTGAAAAAATGTAGTTTTTTGTAAGATTTGATTAACAGTTGTTCTTAAAAATTTTATTTGTATATATTTGTTTACAAAAGATGATAGATTTTAAAATATAGCTTGACTTAAATTACCTAAACATTTATCCTAAAGAGTGCATCATTATCACATAGTCTTTTCTTGATATCATGTAGCCTTCTGTAGGTCCATAGGCACAGATAAATCTCATTATCCAGTTTCCTATTTTAAATTTTGCCCAGATGTCTCTGCTAGAGTGTGCTTACCATTCTATAAGATTATCTTCAATAGCAGATGTGAATGCTAGGGCTACACCCTCATTGCATTGATCATCATTTCCTGAGTAGATCAACCTATATTTATTGTTTAGGCTTGTCCAACTTTAATTTTCTTAATTTCAGTGATACCTGCTACTTTTACATTATACCTTTCTAGCTCTTCAGTTAGCTCTACTTCCTTTCCATTCAGACTTGTAACATTGATGGTACCAACTCTGATTTGTGTTTCAGTAGCATACTTAGCGCTGTGTGTCCTGGTTCCCTGACCAACACAGCGTGGATCTTGTTGACCCAGGTGATGTCCCAGCCGGTATAACTTTCTTTTGATTTGATTTATCATGTTTAAAAGTTTTAACTGATAAAGAAAGATCTGTTATAGTTGGTTAATCTTATAATGGCAGTCCATCTTTGATAATCCAGTTAATTGGCTATCTACTGCCAGGTTGTTCCATAGGGGTGAGGAATGGACATGTTGGTTCCTCACAAGCCTGACTTTCTAGGGAATGTGAGAGTCTCTTTCTAGTTGAGACACAAACCTTTAACAACTTGTATATACAGTGGAACCTTGGTATATGACCTTAATCCGTTCCTGGTGTTTGGACTTATACCGAATTGGATGTATACCAAACCAACCTTTCCCATAAGAAGTAATGTAAAAATGATTAATTCGTTCTCATGTAAAAAAAATGGCTGGCTTTAAACACCTCGCTTTCCTGGCTAGTTCCTGCTTGATTTTTCATGAGATCAGCATGTATCTTTTTAGCTTTCTTGCAAATAATTTCCTTTTTGCAATTCATCATTAATAAAAATAATAAAATTTTACTTACAAATTAAAATCAGAAGAAATTTAACAAAGTTATAAACCATTGCACTGCGAATGTCTAGTCTGGTCTAATACACCGATAGTGCTACTTGTTCATAGATGGCGCATATAATTGAATTATGTTGTATACTGAACTAAAGTCGTGTATCGAGCAAAATTTGTTTTATCCAAACAGAACGTATTCTAAAGCAGACGTATACTGAGGTACCACTGTATATTTTTTGATGTAACTGAGAAATATATATATTTCAGTTAAATAAATGTTTTCTTTTAAAATTTATAATTTGTTTTGATTATTTGAAGCTTTCTGTCCTATTCTCTGCTTTGTATAAGAAAAAAGCTTTTCTTTTTTGGTTTTTGAAGCTAAAAAATTAAATGAATTGAAACAGCTTTTTGAAAAATTACTTTTTAAATTTGTTATGTTTTAAGAGTAAGATTTCTGAGTGACTTTATTATGAAAGGTATTTCATTACATTTGAAATTATATATGATAAAGTTTGTGCATTTAATTTTTATAAATTTGGTCAAATTCTTGAGAGCAGCAAATCTGACTTCATATGTTTAAGTTTAGTTATTTATTGAAGATTTTTATTTTTATCTTTTTTATTTCAGCAACATTTTTATAATTATTTTTAGCATTGTTATGAATTAATTTACATACATGTATTTTAAATATATTCACAATAAATAATTAAAATCATTAAGCCTGTTTTCAAATCTTGGCAATTACATCATTATAATATTTTGTATTTTTTCATTTATTTGCAGCTACACTACATTTCACAAAATCCTGGTGGTGGGGCAGCTAATTTAACAGTTGCTACATCTGTATATGGTTTTATTGGGACTCCTCCACAGTTTAGAGGGCAATCTCGACTCGTTTGGAAGCAAGGACCATGCCATTTAATAGAAGATGTATTAACACCCCAGTCAATATATATGTTGTTTCAACTTGGTCCCAGATATACTGGAAGTGTTCAAGCCCCAATTATCTCTGGTTAATATTTTTCTTTTATATATAAAGTTTTAATGCAATAAATAATAAATACAAGGGGCAGTCAAAAAGTTCTTGGAATTATACCTATAGTTAGAAAATGCAATATTAGATAAGGTTATTCATTGCTGTGAGGGAAAGCTCAGCATGTCTATTTGCAGTGTGATAATGCTCGTGCAAGTTCAGACTTACACAGTTGTTACTGTAGCATCTTTGTTGGGCATGACTGCTTATCATTCGCTGCAATGTCCCAGTTCGAGCAGCATGCAAACATCAAGTTTATGTGCAAATTGGGGAAAACCATTGCAGAGACACTATTGGACTTGCAGCAAGTTTATGAGGAAGAGCCCTGACAAGTGGCATGGATAGTGGTTTCTCCATCATGACAATGCACCAAGTCACACATCACTTGTTTTGCAGCAATTCCTCACTGACAAAAGCATAACTGTCATCATCCAGTCACCTTACTCTCCACATCTTGCTTCCAGTAACTTTTGGATGTTTCCTACTCTCAAAATGGGCCTCAAAGGAATGTGTTTTGCAAGCAGGGAGGACATTATATCAAATATGATGGCCCAATGCTGGAAGATTCCAAAGGAAGTATTCCATGCCTGCTTTCAACAGTGGCAGGATCAATGGAACAAGTGTCTGTGTGAGAGGGGCCTACTTTGAAGGTGATTAGGTCTGCATTGCCATATCTCATGCCACTACAGTGCAGGATCACAATTCCGGGAACTTTTTGACTGCTTCTCGTAGATGTTTGATTAATTTAATCAAATAAATCTTAATGTTTTATGATAAAATATAATATGGTTACATATTCAAAGACTAACAGTATAAAAGTAATCTGCAGTTGAATAATGAAAAGTTGCTAGATAAAATTTATTTCACTGAGAACAAACAGTTGAAAAATTATTACAATAAGCAGATTTTACTGTATATAGTTCTGTTTAATAAATATTACCATGGATTTAATAATTTAAATGTTTACATATCATAAATAGCATTTATTATTTAAAATCAAAGTGATTAAAACTTGAAAGTTTTATCTAATTACATAATATATTATTTTTAGGAAATGAAGCTCTTTCCTCAATTGTACCAGAAGAAAAAGTTGTGTTTGGATTGAATGCAGCTGCAGTTTCAGTTATGACTTTGGCTAAAATTCGACGAGTATATAGCAAAACTGATTGCAGATCCATTGCTAAAATGGTAATTATTATATATGAAAGTTTTTAAATTTCTCACTCTAAATAAAATACAGTAGAGTGTCATTTATCCGAATCAATTGGGGACTGGGGTTATTCGGATAACTTATTTTTCAGATAACCGATTATGTACGAAAAAATACATTAACCTATCCCGTGTTGAAATTTTTCTCCGTTGCATGTCGCTTCGCGTTGAATTTTCGTCGATGTTAAGCCTAACGTAAACTTTTTAAAATAATAATCGTGGCTATTGTATCGTTAAAAATTATTGTTTTATTTTGTACAAACAAAATAAATATATTGAAAAATATAAAAACAAAAAAAATTATACTTTAGAAGTTATCTAGTATCAAAAATCGTTCGATTCAGCATGACACACAGTCCTCAAAAAAACACCACACAAAAGTGACAGTGCTGCCAGCTAAAACACACAAGCATAAAAAATATTGGAGTAGCCCAAGATATAGCCAAAGATTGCAGCGCCACAGCACTAGCGAAAATTTAAATTTGCCGACTGGAATTCTTTCGGATAAACAACGCTCTGATAATTGATAAAAGTTAAATATTGTTTTTAAATAGTATTTAATCTGTATAGTTAATTAGTAATAAAATATGATTATTTAAAAATAATTTTACATCTTAATTTAATTCTACTTTAATGCAGAATTAACGTGAAAAGAATTTTGTTAATACCAAAATTTTGTGTGACAATTTAAAGCTATTTGATCATCTGTTATAATACCATAACAAATAAAGTACAGCATTAACAAATTTGGTCATAGATTATATAAATTAGAAATTCTGTGTGCTTGTAATATCTTTAATCAAAGAAAATGAATTTGTTAGCAGTAAGTGGCTATTGCCTTTTATTATAAAAATCATGATGAGCATATTAAATTACATGTGCTATCAGAGCCATTATTAATTTCATTATGTTTAATACACTTCTTGAGATAAGGAATTCAAAATATTTTTTCCTTATTAGGAAAATATTTTTGTCATATTTTCTCTTTTATTGTTCTTCATGATTGAAAAATATATTCTATTTGTCAGTTCTCAATACTGTAAGGTCTCGTTTTATGCGGTGGATACGTTCTACAGAAAAGCGCATATAAAAAATTCGCATAAAAAAAGACTTTACTTGCCTTGAAAAAGTAGGGATACGTTCCGTAATTTTCTAAAATCGCATAAAACTAAAACAACGAGTTAAAATTAACTTAAAACCGCATAAAATTACAGTTTATACCTTTTAATGCAAAACTCAGAATGATGTAATAGCGACTTGTCAATGGTAAGTATCATGTACAAGGGGAATCCCCGAATTGCAAAAGCTCACTCTAAAAACAAATCACTGACATCTGGATGTGAAGAGTTAATTAAAACCCCTTTAGTTCCTCGCCCGAGTTAACTCCGGCAGATTACATAGCGTTACATAAAACACGGTCCTTAAGGCTTTTTGAAATTTTTTTTTGAATTTTTGGAATGTTTTTTAAGTCTCCAAATTTTTAAAAAATATTTAAAAATATACGGCCAGCTAGTGTTCACCCTATTTTAAACCCTTGTCCTCCCACGATGTCTATGAGAATGCCCCGGGAAATCCAACTCCAGCTGTGTTCAAGGTCATTCAGGTGTGTAAACAATGACTCATCGGTGTTAAATTTCACAGAAGGGCGAGACAAAGGAAGTTAAACTTTGAAGCTTTTTCTTCAAAATTAATGCATTTATTTCGTTTTTTCAGCTTTAAGTATTTTTTATGTTTAATTACATTTATATCAAAATTGCTAGGAACTAAAGCGATTAAGGTATATCTAGCCGTCCTTTACATCCATAAACGTTATATGTCAGTGGAACAAATGGAGTGAGCTTTGAGCATTCCATGATTTTTGGAGACTGTCTATACGCGGGCTTCCTAAACAAGCCTATATGTATGTTTGTAAAAGAAATTTTTGGATGAAATACAAACCGCACAACTTCAAAATCGCATAAAAATAATCCGCATAAAAAGAGACCTTACAGTATTTATTTAATCAGGGTTGTGGAGTTAATACACAAAGTTTCAACTCCTCAATTTTTAAACCTCTGAATCTGGCTTCTTTGTAAAGTTCAATATGTTGTTAATTGAAAATGCATTAAAATGATAAATGGTACCATAAAGCTATCTGTGAATCATTAGAATGCCTTATAGCAGTGTTTTTCAACCTTTTTTTTTTTTTATCTCACAGCACACTTAAACCTATAATTAAATTTCTTTGGAATAAATCACATGATTTAAAGTTGTGTTTGTAAACATCCTATTGTCACATTATTTGCCACTTAACCTAATTCTTTTTGTCTATATTTCTGTGAATTAATTAAATAAAACAGTATTGTTGTTCCTTAAAATAGCAGCAGGTTACAACAATAGTTATTTAAATTAATAATTTTCATTTACATAAAAAAGCAATTAACATTAAGTCTTAATTTGCATTTAAAAGTGGCATGATGATTGCCTTTAGAAACTTGCCCAAAGTCCTGCTATTTTTAAGTTAAAATAATTTGAACTAAATTGGGAAATTATAGATATGTTTTTGATTTAAAGAAAATTTCATTTTAAATAAAATAACCTTGTATTATGCACATATAATTTTGCTTATTGAATATACATTTTTACTACATTACATATATGTTCATTTATTACAACAATGAAAAACTTGTATAATCAGTTTAAAAAGGTTTTAATTTTTGACATGTTCAGTACACGTATTGTTCTTTGGTCTTCTTCTGAAAATAATTTGTTTAATAATCTTCAAAAATTTTCATGGCACACCTACAATCCTTTTGTGGCACACCACTTGAAAATTACTGCCCTACAGACTTATATTATATTCTAGTTTAAATTTGTGCCGAGGCTGGGGTTGGAGATGATACATTTTTACTGACTACAGCTTTACCTTCAAGGCCCTTTATTTAATATTAACAAATAGTTTAAGACTTTGATTGTTTTAAAATATTCATATTATGCAAATAATATGAAATCAGTCAAATAAGATATTTGGATTATTTGATTAATTTTGTATTATTTGCATAATTAATTATTTATATCAGGTCAGTCCATAAGTTCATGCGTATTTTATGACCTTGAGAAAAATCTTGTTTTGCTGTTAAAAATGCCAGTCTAATGTGATACTTTTTACACTGAAGTGTTAAATTGGATCTCATTCATATAATACTGTTCAGAATTGGGAACATTTCAGTTGTTTATTTTCTTTAAAATGGAAGTAACAGATGAATATAAGAGACATGTTTTATACTTAATATTTTTAAGTGATGAGAATGCTACAAATGCAGCCAAAAAATTAAATACTGTTCATAATCAAACTGTAATTAGTGTAAGGACTGC